CTAAAACTGGAGTTTTGTTACATAATATTGAAGAAACTGCCATTGTTGTCAGGCCTCTGCGAGCCTCTGCGTCAAAACGCGTGTCGTTAACACGTCATGTGACGGCGATATCACACTAGTGGCGGATCAATCAAACCAGATCCACGTGTCAGATCCGAGATCCGTGTGTCGTACAGTCTCCGCTCACGGCTCCTGCGCGGTACACCTAGGCCTGAGGTGCTCGGTGAGCATAAGAGTGACATGAATAAACACTTTCAACTTGGAACGAACGCTCGACGACGCCGTCAACGACGAGCTCGATTAAAAAGTCGCGAAAAATGGACAAACAATTGAAAAAAATCAGACGTTCTGCGGAGCGCTTCCCGCAGATCGTACGCCAATTGCAGACCTGGAGGTTTCTTCCAGGTCATTTCGGATAACCTCCGGGAGCTCTGCCCCCTACACGTACCTTCGTTGACAGCTGCTGGATTGCCTGCACCCGCACCGCTCTTGGGTCTCTTCTTCAGCATGGTGCCCTTTCCTCCGCGCTGCCGTATCAGGTCTCCGAATATCGCCTCGGGCAACGGCCTCACATCCGCTGCGCTGAGCGGCAGAATCGTTGCCATCCATTCCCATGCTCGGAGTGCCGGTCCGCATGTAGATCATACTTAAAAACAATTTAGGTGTTACGGTTCCTTGCACATCCAGCGGCGTGTTCGGACTGGTCAGTAGGTGGCCCAGGGGACTGCGCTTGCAATACATCAGAGAACAGCCCTTCCGTATGTAGATCATATAGTTAGGCAAACGACGCTTTGTTAGCCCAGCTGTGTGTTCAGACTACGGAGATTGTGCTTGCAAATACATTTATTACTATGAGCCATACAAGAGAACACCGTTCAGGCCACAAAAAACTCAAAGCCGAGGGGCATATTGGGAGTTGAAACGGCGGCAGGAGCCTTATCGCGAACATTGACGAACTGATCGCAAACTGTTGCCGATATTTGAGTGATAAAATGCAACACTGCACCTCAGGTTGGACACTGGCAAGTCCAGGTCTTGGGGGATAATGGTTAGATACGTATGGCGCATCTCTCTGTTTTCTCTCAAAATTCATGATGATTTCCCTGAGAGTTAAAACGGCAACAGGAGCCTTATCGCGAACATTTACGAAATGATCGCGAACTGTTGCCGATATTTGGGTGATAAAATGCAACACTGCACCTCAGGTTGTACACTGGCAAGTCCAGGTCCTGTCGGATAATGTTTAGATACCTATGGCGCATCTCTGTGTTTTTTCTCAAATTTTTCAATAAATTCTTTCAGTGTCCAGCCATCTGTGCATGAAGTGCAGGCAATATGAACCGAATCCAATACGGTGACCTTACATTATACACCTCCAATTTTTGCTACCGGCCTTAAACCCACTAAATTCCTTTCTTTTCTTATAAAGGAGGTCCTCCGCATCAATTTAATTCTCTTCCATGGGTCTGCGACACGGGAAAGCTAAATAAAAGAAGAGAAAGCAAGAAAACAACACCAACGGACACATCTGCATTCACTCATGCTGCTGGTGTTTCTCTGGTGTTCTAAGCATCGGAGAGACGCCCAAGTTCAGCTATACAAATACACTCGCTTTTCCTTGCTTGCGCACTTTCACTCGATCTCAGCATTCAACACCCGCATTGCAACTGCAGTTTTTTGCTGTAGTACGTAATCTTCATATGCAAATGGGCTAGGGTAGTACATGATGCCGTCTAAATGGGCATATTTCATTTGCTGCGCATTCCAGACTGGATTTGAGCCCTACTCGAGCCTGTTGACGATGACCATCGGTGCGAGCAACGTAGCCATCAAAAGTTTAGGAATGTGCATCAAAAGTTCGCGTTCCCGAACTTTTGATGGCTACGCTGCTCGCACTGGACGTAATCCTCTGAGAAACATAGTAATAATTTACACTTATGAACGTGGGCTGAAGGTATGAGAGGGGTATTTTTTTGGTCCGAGACCAGATCATGACGAAACAGGCACGTGGCAGAGTACACGTGACCGGCCTAAGCCCGAACTTCCGACTTGTCAACAATTACCACCACCTGCATCCTCCACCTACTATCTCTATGAACACCTGAAAACAGCCATTCCCAAGCAAAGTACGAACTCCGCGTGCCGCCACCGTTTTGACTCATCGACGCGCCTGTGCTCTCTACCGCAGACAAAGATGCTCACACTGGCGGAGCAGAGGGCACAAAGGGACACACCTCTCGAAGACGCTTTCAAGTTGCTGAAGGGTGCAAGCGCAAACACCGGCAGGTACGTGCTTTCTTCATTATTCTTTTCTCACTCATAGCAAAGACCAGATTTGGTACTCAGGAAGCCGCGGCGAAGGCGGCGAAGACGCGTTCCGCCAAGGCCACAAAGGGAAGAAATGGCTGATTGGCGAGGCGCTTATGTACACAGTTGACACCTGTTATCTTAATGAAGTGTCAGTGAAACTGCTGTTGGACTCACGTATCAAAGTCTAGAGTCTAAATAAAATGAGTGAATAGAACGATTGATAGTTGAGATACAGAAATTTAATACAACTTAAGCACGAGTTTCAACACTGGTTTATTAGAGTTGAGTGGAATCACAAGCGTCAACCGCAGGCGTAGTGTAGTGGTGTTGCATTAAACGCCCGCGGCGTGCAGCGGCACAAAAAAGGGTTCATTTACGGACAGTAGCAAGTGGACGAGCTGAAGGCAGGGCGGGAGCTGTGGGCCTAATTTAGAGGATTGAGCCGGATACGCGAAGGCAGGGCAAGAGCCGTGCACCTAATTTAGATGATTGAGCCAAGTAAACCTTGTATCCTACTTAACCTGAATGTAGCACAATGAGCTTGGAGGAAAGGAGCGTAATGGAGGGTACATGTGACGAAGAGCAGTCGGCGAAAAGTCGGCAGCTAGTTTCGGCACAAGATGTTCAGGTTGCTGGGATGTCGGACCAGCAGGTGAGTGGCGTAGTGATAGTATTGACCAAAGAACTAACTACGTACAGCCCTCGTATATAAACTATGGACAAGTAAATAAAGGGAAACAACGGAGATCAAGTCAACGGCGATCACGGATCACATAGAACAATAAGGATATTATGTAAGTGAGTGCGTATTGTTACAGTACACACACCTGACATTGACCAGTAGAGAGCAGGACCCGTCAGGGCGAGCAGGAAACAGGTAAGTACCTGGACTGCGGAAAGAGTCGCTGCGGCAGAACACAGATAAGCGACAACCCAATACGGAAGCCAATAACGAGACGGGACGCACCTATGTCACTTCTCTAGAAACAGACGGCCCGAGGCAACGCCAAACGCGGGATCTTGAAGCCGAAGCAAGTCGCAATGATTGTTTCTACTACTGACCACTATACCGACATGGTGGTCGGGAGCAAGAGAAAAAATCCTGTGTCAAGATGAAACATTTAGTACGGGGTCCGGAACCAGACGCTTGTACCCGTCGATATCCGGGATGGCGGCCTGTTAAATACCCGTGATCCGCCACGGCACGCTGAATATCCGGGATGGACGGCGCGCATGGCAATAATAATTTGTTTGGGGTGCTCGGATCAGCTGCAGGTGCGACGCCGTGTCTAAAAGGGTGTTTTGGTGTGCATGCACCACATAGAGGGCGGGACACACCAGGGTGAGAGGAGGACAGAGGACGCCTGGTGGCTCGAAGCAGGCTTGACGGAACACATCGGTTAAGTGACGACCTTATAGAGACACTGATAATCGTACACGGGGCTCCATGCACGGATCAACCGCAGATGAGACGCGTGCCACGCTGGGCGGAGCGGGCGGACGTGTGCAGCGGGCAGGCGCGCGCACGAGCAGGGAAGCAGGGCCGGCGGGCGGGCGGCGGGGAGGTGCAAGCTGACAGGTAATTATGCGGCTAATTAGGCGGGCGACAGGTGGCGCAGCACATTGAGGGCAGGCAGTGTGCAGCGCGCTGAGGGCTGGCGGGCGGCTGGCAGGCGGGCGGGCGGGCACCGGGCAGCCGCGGCGGGGAAGCGCGAGCTGAGAGTGGAGCCAAATAATTATATTTAGGTCTGCCGGCGTCACCACCAAACGGGTATACTGGCGGGAGGCGGGAGGCGGGAGGCGGGAGGCGGGAGGCGGGAGGCGGGAGGCGGGAGGCGGGCAGCGGGACGCGGGAAGCGGCGGGGAAGCGGGGAAGCGCGAGCCGAGAGTGGAGCCAAATAATTATATTTAGGTCTGCCGGCGTCACCACCAAACGGGTATACTGGTGCGAGACGGGCGGCGGGCGGCGGGCGGGGCAGCGGGCAGCGGGAAGCGGAAAGTGGAAAGCGGGCAGCGGGCAGCGGGAAGCAGCGGGGAAGCGCAAGCCGACAGGGGAGCTGAACAATTATATTTAGGTTTGCCGGCGTCACCACCAAATGCGTATACTGGTGCACAGACCATGGGCGGGGGCGCGGGGGCCCAAAGGCGCGATGCGGGGCGCGGGGGTGGGAGCGGGGGGGCGCGCATATGCGGGGCGCCGCGAGCGCTCGCTGTCGCATGGGCGCATAAGCGGCAGCCCAATAAGGCAGCTGATATATCAAAGCTCGTCGACAACTGTAGGCAATGATGTATCAGCACTATTGCACAATTGTCGAACATCTGATATATCAAAACCCCATATATGCCTGCTGTCGATTGTCATTCCTGAATTCTTGGAAGTTGGATCCCATGGACTCTCGTGCAGTCTTGGTCAAATTGCCTTAATTCCCCTTACTTTGGCTTTTTGACTGTTCTTATTCTTTGTGCCAGGCTTGGTGCCAGGGTTCCCGTCTCCTGCTTCCTGCCTGCATTCTATTCGTTTCACTACTTTAGAACTTACACTCAGCTTCCCCAACTTTCAGGAGCGCATCCCCGCACCTTCAAGCCCTACATAATAATATTGGTGGATGCGTGAACTCCCGGCGGAGCATGGCTCGGGGACGAATGATCGTGAATGGTTCGATAGCGACTTTCTTGAACTGGAGTCACTGGACACTAAGTATAGCTCAGTGGTAGAGTATAGGATTGTGTTACAATCCTGGAGTCCCGTGTTCGAACCGCGGTAGTGTCTCATTTTGCGGCGGTTTTTGTGGCTTGCACACTCTTGCACCATCCTTGCACCATCCTACGCGTTGAGACTTGGTTGAGACCGCTGATGTGACATCCTGCCGTAAATTTCCGCATTGGGTATTGCCAGAATAGGTCCCTGTCGCTTGTGCGCCGTAGTGAAATCCTCTCCGGCGACACACCAGCGACAGAAATTTCCACGTTAAACATCGAACCTGCCAGTGAGGAAGGATTTGTATATTTGTGCTTGATTTGAATTGTGCTCCACGCTTTGGTTCATGATCGTCGTGACAACCCAGAACTATCTCACCGTCCTGCCACCGCGCTGTCACCGAGCCCCAGGGTTGTAAACTACCTTCACCAAAAATTGAAGGGGAAAAAATCCCAGACGATCGTCGATCGCTGCAGGGTACGGGAAAATCAACGTAAACATTTCACCAGGAAATCTCACGGGCTACCGATCAGGCCCCAGGTTAGATTTACAGAATAATTTCAAGAAATGAGTGAGAAATACGCATCTGCTGCCAAAGAGCAAAATTGGGCACCATATTTATTTCGTTTCAAGAAAGTGGTGTTTTCCTTTGTTAACGTTCTACCGCACCTCCTACGCACCGGTGGCAGATCTCCATTTGTTCCCAAACCTTCACTAATAGGCACTCTTTACTGATCTTGGCAAGTTTAAAGCTCCACCCTCAGGTGCGATTAAATCACCTTTGAGAAAGCAACAATTTACAACAGATGAGTAACACGAAGAGGGACGACCTTTTGGCCGTTTGGATCACTCGGCTGCAAGGTCCCGCCCATTTGAGCGAACAAATCATCCGGTTTGTCTTCTGCGAGTGCGAAGGAAAAGTTTCCCAACAATTCACTGAATATGGTCTGCATCTCCATCACCCTCGTTTCATCAATTCAGTATCGATTGTATCAGAAAACGGGATCCGCTCACGCAAATCGCCATCTATGAAAACGGACGGAAATTTAGTTGTGCAATTGGATGGAAAGATATTTTTTATTACTTACCCGAGACAAGTGCGTGGACCGCCGAGGAAACTTAGCCTAAAAAATTTCAATAAATCATCGCACTGAGCATCATGAGCTATATTGAAGGAGCGCACAGATTCGCATAGGGTCCAATCGCTTCGCCCTGTTTAACTCTGCCGTCGACCCACCGAAGAGGATCGAATTTGTCCGGGTTCTCACCCCAACGGAACTTGTCCCTTAAAAACACAAGTTACGACATTCGATGAAATGATTCTAGAAATAATTAACCTTTGGTAGGATGCGACTCCAATAAACACGACGTCCCCTTTGCGAACAGGGATATGGTCGATGTGTTCGCCGGCCATGGTTGAAATACTCTCTGTCAGTGGGATGACAGTGTCCAGTACAGCGACTCTCTCGGCCAAGGCTTCCGCTGGGAACATTCTGAGCGATTCCTGCGCGGGTTCATTCCATCTCTCTCGTGAAACATATGGTAGGTACCTTAATGAGAGCATTCAAGAGAGGTTTGTTGTCGTATGAAGAAGTCGTCATTGAATGGATTTCTTTGCGAATTTTTTCTTGCAGCTCAGGGTTCCGAGCAAGTTCAAGCAGTCCAAACGTCAGCGTATTGGCCTGACAATATCCCTGAAAAGCGTGCACAGTGTATAAGCACAGGCTTACCGTGGTGTCCGTTCCAGCCGCAAGCAGAACGCAAGTCTGGCTCGCAATATCCTCTTTCGTCAGTGTTGTATTTTGGCGCACTGTGAATTGCGATGTCATGCCGAAATGCTCCAAACCAGGAACTTACGAAGATACGCATAGAGATCATTGCCTGGATCCATGCCACGCTCCAGGGCCGCGGCCTTCTCCTCAATAACTTGTGTGCCGAGGCGAGTGGCGAGCTTCCTTGCCTTGCGAAGCAGACCGAAGGCCGGGAGGAGGCTCAAATTCAATTGGGGAAACAGAGTACTGAGGGCATTAGCAATAACAGAGCTTGGAGTTTGGCGAGTCCCTTCTCCACTATATGCGACATAGTTATCACTAAGATAGCAGCCGGTCGTTCCAAAGGGCAGAGTGACATACAGCACGATAGAGAGGAGATGAACCAGCTCTTCATCTAACTCCTCAACAGAACGATCCAGCACAACTGGAGGGAATTGGTGAATGATGTACCATCGAACTAAGCAACCCACCCTCTGCGATTGCTGCCAGGGTTCCGGGTCCAATAACCTGACAAATATCGACTACACTTTCACTGGAGGCTTCCAGCTTGCTTGAAATCTGGGGATCATGATGCTCGAGTCATCCAAATCGTTTTAAGGCGACTCAGCTTACTTTTCGCGCAACATTCTCGAATAGTTCTTGATACTGCCTCACGGCACTTGCAGTGAATGCAACGTTCAAGGCAGTGCGCAACCGACGGTGTTCTTCGCCTGTTACCGGTAGGTGGTGATACATAAATCTGGAATAAATTGTCCGTACCTTGCACGTGTTGAACACCCCTGGGACCATCCAAGGCATACACAGCCTTTTCAAGAAGAGGGGACTTTCGGAATGTGTCCACGTTGTTCAACAGGTGTTGCACGGCGCGAGGATCGGAAACCATGAGGCAGTCTCCCTGTTGCAAGTCAGTGGAATAAAATTTAAAGGGAAGATCTAGTTTGACTCACGCCGAAGCAGCCTTTCAGCCGGTATACGTTTCCGTATTGCTTCAACCAGGCGAACTCGTATTTACCATACGGCGAAGAGATCCAAAGTTGTAGCATATTTCCTGCGGAATGATGATGGATTGTCTGAATCCGGGAAGATGAAATAGCGCACCAAAAATCCATGATGGCGAAGGAGGTCCAGGAACTGCTCTGAAAGAGACCTTGCGTGTACATAGTACAAGGGCAGCAATGTATACGGTCACGGCGACGGCAAGTGAGGTGAATGCAAGCAGGTAGTTCATCACGATATCGCTAGGAGTGGGTGACGATAAGAAGGGAATTGGTTGCCACATCGAGTATAAAAACATTCTGTTGAGGTGACGCTGACCTGACTTGGTCACCTGAGAACAACTTCTTTTGTCCGGCTACCGTGGTGGCGGGGGCCGGCGTGTGAAATAGCTCCGCACAGCTGTCTTGACAGGAGCTTCTATGGCCGTTCTAATGCATCACTTGCCCTGATTACAGGCTCTGGTGTCATATGTGGAACTGATGCAGGACGGATTTGGCTGATGCAGGCCAAATTAGGCCTGGGCACTGCCTCCAGTCCAAATGCGGCCTGGCCAGGACGGATTTGGTCTAATTCACTCTCACGCCATACTCTCACGCCCCTATTTGGTCTGGGTAAGTCTTGGGAGGGCCGGCACTTAATGATAATGACCCAAGGGCACCAAAAACGAACCTAATCACGAAGCAGGAGGTGCCAGACCAGGTTATGGCCCTATGTCCAAGGGAACCTGTGTTTCAGTGTGCAACCAGTAGCTTAAGCAATGTAAGACAGCAAATGAGCAGACAAGCAACTAGTTACAACTTAGGATTTAGCTTATTCATAAAGTAAAGGCTGGGAGCACAGTCCAATTACAGGCATTGGAATTGCAGAACTATACCTATTTTCAGCGAGTTTTTTTTAAAAATTAATGTTATGGTGTTCTTGAACTCAATCAGGGCCCAGGTAGATTATTATCAGAGACCAGGTACCCGGCCACCTTAGCATTCCCAGCCTCGGGCCAGCATGCAGAGTAGGGTAGATATGGTTTTATAGGTTCTCAAATAGAGGTGGGCATCCCAGAAGGCAGCCCACATATTTTGTGCGATTTTAAATGAACGTTTCATGGCCCCACGGAATTTATTTTCCAACGACATCCCAAAAGGGCATAAACGGGGTAGCTGGCCACCCCGCTATATTGTTTGTTCGCACTCATTCTGGTCACCCCAGTGTATCCCAAATTATCCAATGGATTCAGTTGAATTATTAGACATACCAAAATAAACATCTGTAGGATATGAGGACCCCAAGGAATTTTCATTCCGGCCAAATATGATAGGTGAAATTGGTGTGTAGACTAAATGGTGCACCCTGCACGGCTCAGAGTACAGTTATAGCCCAAACCAAAGCCTAGACAGATACATACAATGCATTGAGACATATCTTATCACATATTATGTGCTCTACATCCCATGAACCCCTCTAACAAAATCCATCTTTCCGTGCCCACGAAATTGTGTGATTTTGAGAGGTGCCCATTGTGACTGGGAAGTAACCAGGTTTGAAGCCTAGTGAGGGTCGGACAATATGGTTTAACTGATTTTTAAGGTGTGTATTAAGTTTCATGCACATTGCATACACAAGGGGTTTGTCATGGCGGTGGCCAGATTACGCCACCAGACATCAGGTGGTGAAGTTTTCGGAGGTTCCAGGAGGGGAGAAGGAGATATTTTCGCGTATATAATAGGCGGAAGCCATTCCTCCGAGCTAGGGAATTCGGGCGAGCCCCAAAACTTGTGAATCGGTGCGGAATTGGTAGAGAACTGAGGTAAAAACTAGCACGGCGGCTGTTCGGAGATAAGAAAATGGTCTTCACACGCCTTCACCCCGATCAAAGCCGAGCACAGCCGTTGATCAGCCGCTTAACTTGCCGGCAAATTTGATGTCCAGCATCCTCATAGGTTGTACTCTACCCTACAAGCACCAAAACACAAAATTCTACAACATGCAAGGCCCTATTATGCAAGTGGCCGGGTACCTAGTGTGGCCGGGTACCCAGTCGCAGATAATAATATAGCTTCTATCCATGCTTATAATTCATCTGTTCTGTGGTTAACAAAGCTCTGTTAGAACTAGAGCAGAAAATTCAGGTGAAAGTTGAGCTCTTCCAGATGGTAATACTTAATACTATTTTCTCAAAATCAGCCTGCTGCAGATGCATGGCAACTGAGTTTTGTATCATTAATGGAGCAGCAGAGCCATTCTCAAAGCAGAGGAGACATTGCCAAGTCTGTACTGCTGCAGGAGATTAGGAGAATCAAATTGAAAAAA